GGTTTCTCTCCCAATTTGAGAAAATATGGAGACAAATGATAGTGGAATAAGTGATTAATTAGTAATACCAAGAATACCCCCCACAAATCAATATGCAGAAAAGTTATTACATTTATGTCCTAATTATATAACTATTCTGTTTTGTTCTTGCTTAAGCCTACTTTTGTTCTTAATTAATTAGGGATCGTCTCATTTAATAGGAGTGAGTAAACTAATGATTTATATAACTATCCTGTTTTGTTCTTGCTTAAGCCTGTTTTTTTTTTTTTTTTTCCTTTTTACTTTTGTTTTTACCCATTGCATTGAACTAACAGGAAACATTCCAAAATATCCTATGTGAGATTTTGGAAATGAATAATGTGTGAAGTGGTTATGAAAGTGTAGGACAATAATTTGGTCACTATTCTTTCTTTTCTTTTCTCTCCCCTATCTTATTCAAATAAGAATAACTATCTTTTGTTTTCACCTCCGCGGTTCCAACGAGCTTCCCGTTTCAGACTTGTGTGCTACAGTTCAATTCGATCTGCTATAGTCTCCGAGCTTCATCTCTGGTGTACTCTGTCCATGTAAACAAGCTTTATCTCGGCAAGAGGAGGAAGAGAGAGAACGAAGAGAGAGCAGTGGTTTGGGGGTGGGGATAGTGGTGGTTGTGGGGGCGGCGGGTATGTGTGTTGTTGGTTGTGGATTTTGGTGCCGAGGGTAATCTGGTCATTTAAGTATTTTAATATTTTATAATTAAAATTAATAAAATAGTGAAGGGTAAAATGGATTTTTTATATATTTTAAGGCTCTGTTTAGATGACAAATTTTTCAAGAGAGTGTGGTTGTCCAAAAATGGACAAACTTTCATTTGCATGTCCTTACCCCAAAACCCAAGGGGTCTCTGTACTTTACCCTAAATAAATTTATAAGAAAATTTATCTATTCTTTTCGCATAGGATTAAGTCAATGAAGATGATGAAATATATATATATATATAGTTGTTTGATTTTTTGAATTTATTCATTTTAATGGTAAAAATTTAATATTATAATGATAAAATTATTTATATATATATATATATATGGTCAAGTGACAAGATACCGTGAGAAGGGTTTAATGGGAGAGGATGATGATTTATGATTTTGATTTTGGTTTTGATTTTGATAATATTATATATATATATTTATGATTTTGATTCATAAGATAAGAGAGGACTTGAAGAAGGTAGGCAGAAGAGGTGGTTGAAGTGGACGGGTAGCCATGGGCGGCTTTGATTATCGAAAGCTTTAATGCAGTAAGCAGTCCCAATAATTAGATCGTTTAATTTGTTAAGCTGAAAAGCATTGTGGGGTCTCCTCTATATTTTATCCACTTGTTTATTGTAATTATAATATTCATATAGATGTTGGGCCCACATGCTTGTGATTGGACCGCTCAGAAATTTAACCTCCACTATTATCCAATCAAAAGTACTGGAATTTGCTCTCTCTTTGGCTGGTGGACACGGTCATTGAGAAGAACTCGTAGAGGTCAAACTAGTTCATAAAATATATATATATATTTCTGTTCAATATAAAAGTGAGCAGTGGATCAGAAGATAATCAACAAAAGGCATTTAAAAATAGTTTTGTAGGACCCAGTGTCTATTAATTTTTAAGATTGAAAAAATTACTACTACGTATGACATAGTTAAGGTCAATTAATTATAGGGACCTACTTGTTACTTTGTTGAAATCTCAGGAGTTGATTGATTTTTTACTATAGTTTAGTAGAAGGGTAAAAATTCATAATATTTTGATAAAATTAAATTTAAATAAATTTTCCTTTAATTCTTGAAATGACTTGTAGCATCTTTTAAAAGTTTCACGGTAGTCGCAATTATATGTTTTTTTTTTTTAATTGTTGAGATAAAATTGATTTCAATTATAAAATTAGAAAAGGAAAAATTGAAAAAATTGATTTTAGTGGATTATTTATTATTATTATTATTATGGGTAGGAAGGTAGTATGTATAAAAGAATAAATTGTTATGCTTCGGTTTATTCTTAGATTTGTTAATTCTTCATAACAAGGGTCATTTGTCCTATATCGGATCCGAATGAGAAAGTGATTGGGTATAAATAAATGGATATGTAGTACTACATAATAGTTTGAGTTTTTAGGTAAATGAGCAAGCACTCATCCATTACAGTTGGTATTAGAATCAGACCCAATATTTGATCCGGTTTTACGCCAAGCGCCCGACCCGAAAAACATTCGGGTGAGCACTCCGGGTAGGCAGGGTGGCCTGAGCCGCAACAAGGGTGTTGCGGTTTGGGTGGGAGAGAATGTAACAGGGGTTATTTGTCCCACATCGGATCCGGATGGAAAAGTGATTGGGTATAAATGGATGGATATGCAACACTACCTAACAGTTTGAATTTTTGGGTAAATAGGTAAGCGTCCATTCGTTACACCAGATTGGTAGGTTCTATTAGTTAATTTATTTAAACGGATTGGGCCATGGGCTTAAGAATTACCAAAATAAGGGCCCGTTTGGATTGACTTTTGAAACGCTGCTTTTAGCTTTTTGGGGTTGAAAGCCGTTTTGAGTAGTATTTGGCTAATTTTTTAAAAGAACTTTTAAGTCATAGAAAAGCATTTTGGAGAAGCTGGGTACCCCACCCAGCTTTTCTTAAACGCTCTTTTTTAAAGACACGGGAAACTATTAAAGGGTTTAATGAAACTTTCAAAATACCAAGCGTGCCCTCCATATTTGTGAACAAAAAATAAAATATTCCACCTGTATCCCTATATATGTAAAGAAACCTAATCGCATCACAGATTGTCTCTTTCATCTGGTTCACAATTTCACATAGCAGCAGGCTCCTCCTCTCTTTTTTCTCATCCTCAAGATTTCAAAGCTAGGTACTCCGTTGGACAAATAACTCCTAAATACAGTATTATTTTAAGTTTTATCACGAATCAAATTTGTTAGATTTTAACGAACGATGAGTGAGAACAATATATATATATATATATATATATATATATATTTATTTATTTATTTATTGCTATTGCAATTTATATTTCGATTCATTCTTGATTTTGGTTTTTTGTTTTCCCTTTTTCTCATATATGTTACCATCATATGTTTTTGCCTTCAATTTTGATTCTCTCTTAACTTTGCGAATCTGTGGGTATATATACAGGTAATATATGTGTATATTTTATATGATTTACTTGATGATAGTTATGAAAATAAACTCCATAAGTTGGGCTGATGACTCTTTCAACTTACATAACCACGGTCAACCAAAAAATATGAAGAACAAAGAAATCTTTTCATCTTTAGCTTTTTTTTCACATCGAAATTGAATTGGGAAATACTTTCCATATTTAGCTTTTTTTTCACATCAAAATGAACATTTATATAATGGCGTCCTCAGAATCTTTCTATGGCAACCACGATGTACTAACCAAAAAAAAATGAAGAAAAAAAAAAATCCTTCCAGAACTTATATGTAAAGCGTTGTATTTTAAAAAAAAATTCCTTTCATATATCAATTTCTCAAAACACTATAGAAGAAAGAATTTATAAAATGAGTTACATAACTTCCTTATAATGAAATTAATAAAAAAATGTAGAAGAATGTTATTTAGATCATTTTATAGACAACAACAATGTAAAAGAAATAATTTTTAAATCATTTTCACGATGGATGTGTAACATATTTCGTTCTTTCACAAATGATATGTTTGTTAATATCATAGTTTTGATTACAGTTGTTGGGATGGTCATTGTTTGGAACCTTATTTCATTAGTTAGTGTTTGGAATCTTATTTCATCTGAGGGCAAATTAGTTATATTAGTAGTAGAAGAACTTTAGTAAGCATTTTGCCAAACAGACAAAACAGTTCTTCTAACATTAAAAGCTCTTCTAAAATACAATTCCCAAACACTATCAAATAAGCCGAATAGAAGTGCTAGCTTATACTTCTCTTCTTCTTCTCTGTAAAAGCTATGCCAAACGAGCTTTAAGTAAGCAAGCCCACTTAGCAACCCGAGCCCATACCCCACCAACACATTACCCACACCGTACTCATGTTTGTTCATCCGATGAGATTGCCAATTCTTCTGTCGATCTTTTTAGCGAGCTAGTCTGATTTTGATTTTGCCAGTGAGTTTATTAATGGACACCAAAATTAAACTAGGGTTTTTTTTGTTCATTAATGATTAGGGTTTCGATCTGTGTAGACTACAGTGTGTAATTTGGATATATAAATTGAATTGTACAAATTGATTTTGATATTGATAATGAAGTTTTTGGACACAAAAATTAAACTAGGGTTTTGAATTGTGTAAATTGATTTTGAATCTCACTTCTTCTTCTCAAGCATAAGGACGAACCAGAAAGATGCAGTAATACGCAACAAGATTTTTTCCCACCATTTAAAGTTCTGTTTCTCTTTCTTTAGCCTCCTATTTTTACAATGGAATGAGGAACAACAATGGAGAAAAACTAAATTAGAAGAAGAAAAAAAACATGTCATTGAAATTCCATATTTTCAGCTTTAAGCCCATTTGGCCAAAAGAGACGTACATACAGCCCCAAAAAGAAGAAAAACATTAGCACCCAATTGATGGAAGCCTTCCTCTGTTTTGCATCCTTGGATTCATGAAATCTGCCGCAAGAAGATCTACCAGGGACATATATGTATATAAAGATCCCAGCCAGCCGATGCCTCGTCAAAAATGCCTTCAACAGTCGGGGCATGCATTTGGACTATTAATTCTCTTTGTAAACATTTGAAACTCCAATCCCAATGCTATTCATATTAGAGCTATTAATATGACCGGTCGTTGACAAACTTGTTCATTAATGTTTAATACATAGATTAAATTGTATAAATTGATTTTGATATTGATAATAAATTTTTCAATCTCAAAAATCATTAATGGTTGGTTTAATGATCTCAACTTTAAAAAAAAAATTAAAAAAAAAAAACCCCTTAATTTTGATGCAGATATTATAATATATTTTGCCTGAACCTTCCATGATTTTCAGTTAAATTTCACCCAATTCGATACAAGGTGCCCGATTTCAGCAGTCTAGTTGTCAGATGCGAAAAGCATGGCATCTGTTTACAAGCATAACACTACAATTCTTAACAATGCATTCAAATTAATCCAACTAAAGTACTAATTGTTGACTACCACCACTCCACAAAGTTGAACCACCATATTTTATGCCGATCTTCATCCTCAACAACCACATTTAGGTCTTCTGCAGGTCTTGTTCCCTCTCCACAGAGCCTCTCTCATTTCTTTTATTTTTCTAGTCGAAACACTTCATCTCAACCTTCTGATCCCCGGCAATGCAGTTTTCAATCCTTCCAAAGAGGCTCTCAGTACTTGGTGCAACTGTTCTTAGTTTTAGAGAAGTGGTTCTTGGACTTCAACATTCAAATTCAATGGCGCACTCACATCCATGGTTGCGAGATCTTCTAACTCTTGCAATGCTCCGAGGGCACTAACTGCAGATTCAGCATTTAAGTGAGGCTTTACCACAGCAACTGCCTCCTTTATTCTGGATTGCTGTATATATGCAAATACACGTAACATAAATACTTATTCATTTTGAAATATATTGAAAGTGCAATTATATTGATCATGCATTCAACTTACAAAATGTTCAACCTTGCCCTTTAGATCTTCATAGGCCAACACTGACTGCTGCTGTTGTGCAGCCATTTCAATTCCAATTAATGCATTCTAGAATCCAAAATCGTAAGCAAATAAGCAAATACAGAATAACTTCAATGAGAATAACGAATCAAAAACCAAATCTGCAATTTTCTTCCAAGTAAAGCTTTCAAACAACTTCATGCGGTTGAATGAGAGCTACTTGGAAGACCAGCACATTCACATTTTGCAGTAATTGCCATATCATTAGAATTTATTACCAATTTACATTATCAAATCATTTTATAGCAGATTGGATACAAACATTTGCTTCTTCTCCACTTAACATCCAACCATCAAGGGTTGTAGTCCAGTAGTATCTCTCGATCTCCCAAAGTGGGGAAGGTTGAGAGTTCAAGTTCCATAGGAACAAAGTGGGTAACAAAGTGGGTGTGTGTGTTATTTGCCAAACTAAATAATAAATTAAATTAAATTAAAAAATTAAAATTGAATTAATGTAAATTACAATATAGAATCATTTTTCTTTAAATGAAAGGGAATTAAAATCCACACATCATATTTTCCCTATAATTTTGTAAATAACAATTTCTCTCAGGACCTGTACTGGAAATTTAAGATGGTGACTTCAAACTCGCAAGAATCAACAATGTCAATTGTCCGTTTGACAAGATTTTCAGAAATTATGATTTTCATAGACAACTAAATTGTTTTTTATTCCCATGTCAATTGGTACGATAAGTACTATTGTTTCCCATATATTCAACTTTGAGATAATTGTCAATGACATTTTTGTTTTAAAAAAGTTAACTAGCTTTGATTAAAAATGGGGTGAAGTTTAAGGGCATCTTAGTCATTTAAAATAATGTTTGTACAAAATATGAGAATTTTTAATTGTAAAGCTATACAATTCAACTTGTCAAAACTGTTTTCCAACTATATACAATCAATTACATGAAACCTGTTTCATGATTCCACTCTATTTACCAACGTAACTTCAATCAACCAATAGGATATCATATCATTCCTTGCTATCTCAAACAAATGTTGGTTCCAACTTCCCCTCTCCTTGATAGTACCCTCAATGTAGACCCATCACTTCTCCTTATTTGTGTAGTTAATATTCTTTGTTGTATTTTATCAAGCCATCTTAATATATAATTCTCTCAACTGTCCAACATTTTGTTTTGTAAAACATAGATAATGACTATTTTATATAATTTGCCTTTTAGTTTAAGAGGTATAAGTCAATTATAGATATGTTTAATCCATCATGCTTTAATAATATAATTACCATTATCTCTAGTTTCTCGCTCTTTGTAAATAATCGAGCTTAAGTAATGGAAAGGTTTGCTTTTTGGTAGCTAGCCCTTGATCTTCACCCATCTATATCCTATTTATAGTTTTACTAATCAAACAATAGGATATCACATCATTCCTTGTTATCTCAACTAATGTTGGTTCCAGTCTTCCCCCCTCCTTGATAGTACCCTCAATGTGGACACATCAGTTCTCCTTACTTTAATATTCTTTTTGTATTTTACCAAGCCATCTTAATATATTTGCTCCCAGCTGTCCAATATTTTGTTTCATAAAACATGGATGATGATTATTTTAAACAATTTACCTTTTAGTTTTAGAGGTATACGTCAATTAAATGGGTTTAATCCATAATGCTTTAATAATATAATTATCATCATCTCTAGTTTCTCACTCTTTTTAAATAATCGAGCTTAAGTAATGGAGAGGTTCGCTTTTTGGTAGCTTGACCCTTGATCTTCACCCATTTATTTCCTATTTCTAGTTTTACCAAACTTACATTTCATATTCAACATTAGTCTTACTTATCTAGACTTTAGATTCTGGACTCTCTCTCTCCACACCTTTAGTTCAACACTTATCCTTACTCTAATTTTATAAATTAAAACAATATCATTAGTAAAAAAACACCATAGAAATGCATAGTATGGTGAAAAGAAAATGAGATATGTTGAATATAATTAATTCTGGCAGAATGCGTAGAGTGGGTGGAATGCCCACCACCTCTAGAGGGGCACTAATTAGGTCAACAAAGATTTTGCAGCAGGTGGCAATGCACCAGGAGTTGTCCTAACTCAAGATGAGTTGTGTGGTGTTTGAAGCATGCTCCCACATGTTTTGCTACTTGATAATTTGGTATACCAAATCATCAAATTGTTACTTATGCTACCAAAAAAAAAGTGTTCATACAAATGTGGATTGCTTTATTATGATTGAATTTTTAGTGCAATGACTTTTTATATCATGCCTAATTTCAGGTGTTAGGACATTTTTCTTACAATTCAGATGTTAGGATATTGAGGAACACAAACAAGATGGCAATAGCCACCATTTGGCTTGAAGAGTTAAGATGGGCTTGGTTTCCATTAGTTTGATAGTTCTAAGTTATCTTAGAACATTTGTGTAACTTTCAATTTCTAGATTGTTTGGAGCAATACCACCGCATTAACTCTCTAGAGGCAAATTCTTCTCATCCACTGGGAAGGTGATAAAAATCAAAACATGGTTCGTATGCGCGAGTTGCACATAACTCCCACCTATGCTTAGAGAAGGGGACAGGAAATATAGATTTCAGGGTTCCCTATATTTAGATATTCTTAGTAATTAAAATATTTTGGAGTTATCTTTATTATTGGTACTAATATTTCCAACAATTTTTGAATAATTAGTAACTAGGCTACTTAGAATTGCCTACAATTTTGCTTATAAATATGGCTTCATGTAATAGGTTATGATTATTTACTATTGAGATACAATTTTTTCTCCCCCTAAATTCTTCTTCTCTCTCTCTCTTCTTTTTTCTATCTTGGTTCTGCATCAAGTTGGTACCATAATACCTCCATGTTCTACATCAATTTGTCTCCAAGTTTCACGAGTGTGAAACTGTGAATCACTAATTTAATATCACGATAATTTGAACAACTTTGGATATCCCTCTTTTAATACATAGGTAATAAAATAATTTTGTGCAGATCACATGGCTTTTTCTTAGTAATTAATATATTCATAAACAATTTTAATTTTACCCAAGTCCACAATCATCCATTTCCAAACCTCAAAGGAACATCATTTGGTCATAATGCTTTTTTTCATTTTCATCTTCCTTATATGAGCGTGTGTGTGTGTGTATACATATACACACACACATATATACTTCAACACCACCCCCCATATCCTACAAACAAGTTTCTTTTCTCTAATCTCTCAAAGGTTACCATATTCTTTTAACCTTCAGCTTCATATATGATTTTCATTTAAATCTGTCTCAAATAACATTTGTAATTACTTTAATATCATTATCTTTCACTAAAACCCTTTAGACACTTTCCTCTTTATGCACTCAATATTAGAAAGAAAGAAAATAAAATTAAAAAAAAAAAAAAAAAAAAAAAACTTTTTTTTTTCATCTATCTATAGCTTGTCTGATTTTCATTTAAAAATTTCTCAAAGCAACATTTGTAATTTCTCTAATTTTATCACCTTCCACTACGACTCTTAGACCCTCACTCTTTATACACTAAATATTACTAAAAGATATCTTTAAATGTTCATCCACCTTTATGTTTTTCATTTAAAAACTTCTCAAAGTATCATTTGTAATTTCTCTAATTTCATCACCTTTCACTAAGACCCTTGGATCCTCTCTTTATGCAATTAATATAATTAAAAAGAATCTCTAATTTTCATTTCTCTTAACAAGTTGGTTTATATTCTTCTCCCCACGCTTTAAATAAACTCTATGCTTGGAGGGCTACGCTGCTTTGTATCTGGTGGGCTTGAGAGAAATAGGAGATATTTTGACGGAAAAAAGAAGCCTGTTTCCATGCTCAAATTCTTTGTTATTTCTACTCTTTTTTGTTGGGTTTCAGGGAGAGATTATAGGTCTATGGAGGAAATTATTGTTTTTTTGGCCTCTCTGAAGGTCTAAGGCGCCCTTTGGCCCTTTGTTTCCTTTTGTTTCTTTGGGCTTCGCTCCCCTTTTGAGCGTTTTTAATAAAATCTTACTTATCAAAAAAAAAAATAAACTCTTTTGGTATTCTTTTGAGAGATCTGGTCCTCTTATTCGGCGTTATATTAATTTCTTCTTCTAAATTTCATATTTCTTCTTCCCACATCTTGTTTCTAAATAATTATATTTTCTCCATTTTTAAGTTACAACATGTAATTCTTGCATTTATAGCATTCATTACCCATAATAACGTTATAATATTTGCATGGTAATCAATTACTAATCTAGTTAATTGTATATCTATACAATAACTAAAAAACTAACTTGATTTAGGCTTTGTTTGTTTCGACGTAAAATATTCTTTTTGAAAAATATTTTTCTTTTTCAGATAAAATATTCTTTTATTTTTACTTTGTTTGTGTTTGGCAAAGATATACGTCGAGTCCATCAGGCGGGGTATGTAAAATAATTTGTCGAAATTGATGGATAAGTTCTTTTTGTTAAATTTTAATATTTTTTTTCTTCGTGACAACCAAACACCAAAAAATAAAAAAATATTTTCTGAAAAATATTTTCCGTCCAAACAAACGGAGCAACATTAAAACTTTTTAACTAACAATTTGTAAGTGGGACTCTTAAAAGTCTAAGTTCATTCAGATAGTAATATATTAGAATTTAAACTCGCAAGAGTCTGGTGAGAAATTGGATTTTTAGCAAACTAAAGATTTTACTTGATTTCTGTTTAATGTTTTGATCAAACAAGCAATTTTACCATAAGTTTCATTCACAATAATCACTTATCTAAATTAAACCACAAAGGAAGCAAACAAAAACAGGTATTACCTTCTTGGGCCGGCCCAAAGGCCTGCCACTTAGTTTCCTGGGATTCTTGAGCTTCTTGACCTCACCAGACTTTGGGGGTCGACCCCGCCGCTTCACCGGCAATAGTCCGTCACCACCAGCAAGAGGAACCTGCACTACCCCCTCACCACCACCAACGGAAACCGGCAGTACTCCATCATTGACACCAACGGCAACCAAAGCTCCACCACCACCACCACCACCGCCACCACCGCCACCAACAGCAACACCGACGCTCTTCCGTGGCCGGCCACGCGGTCTTCCCGACACCTTCGCCCCAGAAGAAGAAGCACCCCTCTTGGGCCGGCCTCTCGATCTTGGTACAACAGCTGACCCGGTAACGCTCGTCAGCCCAGTTTTGGGTGGGCGTCCACGTGCCCTCTTGGGCCTATCCGAGCCCATCACAAGAGATAAGGGCTTGAGGCCCGGAGGTCTGCCACGGCCTCTCTTAACGGTCATAGGCCCAACTGAAACAGTCCCAGTCTTGGGCTTAGGTGGACGCCCTGGACGCTTCGTCGCCTCCGTGGTGGGCACATCAACAAGCCCAAGTGAGACAAACACCGACTCAGTCCCAGACCCAGGCCCATTACCAAGGACGGGCTCGGTAACAAGCTTGGGCTTAGGGGGTCGTCCAGGGCCTCTTTTGGCAGCAGAAGAAGGAGAAGAGACAGCATTACCAGGCCCAGGAGGAGCAAGCGGAACAGATCTAGAGATCTTGTAAGAGTGCTTGACCATAACGAGTTGTCCACTGCTCTTGAGTCGCTTGAGATGGTGAGTCAACAAGGCCGAGTGACTCGGTGGCAGGTTCGAGTAGGCCTTCTCTATGTACTTGGCTATGGCTTTTCGACTCGAACCCGTTTTTTCCTTCAGAGCCGTGATTGCAGCAGTTATCATCTGATAAAACAGGACCCCCAATTAATTCAAAAAAAAAAAATCAATGCTTTCTAGTGAGAGAAAATATATAAATACAGAGAAATAGAAGGGGGGTTTTGTAATTTTTGTGTAAGATGTACCTCAGCATATGGTGGGTGGCTGTGGTTGTGATTAGGGCCATGGCTGGGAGTAGGGTTGGCGGCATGAGCTATGTGAGCTGCTGGTTCGGTGGTCGCCGGTGGATCTGTTGATGGGTCCATATAGAGAGAAAGAAGACGAAGAGAGAGAGTGGGGTTTTAGAGAGAGAAAACGAAAAGGGAACGGAGGAGAAGGTGAGAAGGGTTAGGTGGTCTTTACGCTTTGATTCTCGGAAAAATGAGATTGGGATGAGATGAGAGAGAGAGCGGGGTGTGAGTGTGATCAGACCGTTGAGGTGGGCCACATAATATAAGCTTTGCACCTCGATAGATAGATGAGGTGGACTTTCATGTCTTTATCTCCTCTCTATTCAGTACAAATAAATGACAAATTTATTGCTTTCCATTTTCCTCCCTAACCTTTTGTCATAAATTTCATTCGCGGGTGTCATGCTTGAGATTTAGAGTTCTCATACAACTAAAAATGGAATTGAATTGAGTTGGAGTGAGTAGATTTGAGTTCAAACTCAAACTCGAATTCACATTAAAGTCAAATATTAGTTTTGGAGGTTGGGCTTATTTTATCTGGTTTTTCAATTTCATCTATATTTGTAAAAAAAAAAAAAAATTCATCTATCACCAAATGTCATTATTTAGTAATACTTTGTAACGAAAAGGTTCAAGATTTATCTATATAAGAGCAAGTTGGGGTGTAAATGTGTTTCCACGGCTAAGGAGATAACTCCTCATTTAGAAAGAACCTTTGCATTAAGCCAAACAATTCCTCACAAATGAGTTAATTTGATGAACACTTTGTTAGATATTATCTTTGTGAGCCAAGTCTAAAGGATGGTCTAACAGTAAGGCTCTCAATATTTAATTAGTTGGTAATATCATGTTATCGAAATAACAAAAATATTAAAGTATTTTTTCAGATCTTGGCATATTATTAGGGATATTAGGTGATTTTGAAACCAAACTGATCTCAACAATTTCTAAGAAATTGAAATTAGAACCGTTGAGGCTCAGGATTTTTGACTTACTAAAACAAATACAAATTTATACAATAACTCGATAGTAATCGACCCCTCAATCAACAAATAAAATGTATTTATAATCTAAAAGTGTGAGCTATTATTCAAATTTTCTGAAACAAATATGAAATTTGAAAGTACACGGACAAGAAGTGCATGAATGCAAAAATGAAAGAGGAGCTCAAACATGAAATAGATTGTCTAATACAGGAATCCAAAACTGAAGTACTCAAACAACAAGTCGCTCTAGCCTCAAACAACAGCTCAAACATGAAACAAATTGTTCTAACAAAAAAAAGGAAAAAGAAAAAAAAATTCACAGTAACCTTATTTTTGTATGTAGTCTAAAAAAATTAATTGTTATGTATTTGTATGTAATCTTATATATCTTTTTGACATTTTTTATATTATTATTTATTAAATATATATATATATATATATATAGAATTGAACTGAAATGATGACTTATTTCGATTCGTGTCGATTCCAACAATTTTTTGTACACTCCTACAAATTATACAGTATATGAGAGTTTTTAAGAGAATAACCACCACCATATATGATATGCCTAAACCCCCTTGGTGATAAACATAGACCTTTATTTTATTAATTATTAGAATTTATGCACATATATTTATGAATTGCAACATAAAAGGTTAAAATCCCTTGCGGATGGTATTAAAGTAGCTTACTCAAATCACAAATTGTGGTCATATCTATTATATATAGAAATATTCATATATCCATGAAAATTTTAGAATATACAATGTGTATAAATATATATATAAGTGTTTGGAACTAATTGCACTAAAATCTCTTGACATTGATGCTGAATATTGCTTGAATTTTTTTTTCTAACTACTCTTCAGAGTCCTTGGAAGCAATCTAAGATCATCAAGGTTGGGAAATGCAAATCCAAATGGTCGATTCCTATTGAAAATGTAATTAGTATTTTGAGATGCGCAATGTTATTTAGGCGGATTATATTAACCTATTTATGTAATTAAATGAGTTTTTATCCACTTAATATAGTAAATAAATTCAAATGTGAATCCCATTCAATGATAGAAATTCTTAAACCTTATAAATAGGTTCGAAAACCGTCTAAAGAATCCGATCATTTTCGTTTGAAATTTGAAAGTGTTAATGGGTGTACCGCGGACAAAAAGACCATACTGGACAAACTGTAGTTGTCACGGCCTACTACAAGTGCTGGTATTAGTGCTTGGAAGCGTATAGAATTTGGAGGGAAGAAGTGACTCGGACATAATTTGCATTGCCAGCTTTAAATGTTTTCTTTAGCTGCTTCTTTAATTATGTGGTCACCATTCCCTGACATTGATGTTAGATATTACTTGATACTGCTTTTATGTTCCTCAGGGGACACAAAATTAAATCAAATAATTTCACAATGCATGGAAGTCACCTCTTTTCTATATAGTTCTTGAAAAATAAGAGTTAGATAGGGGTAAAAATGTCTCTTTGAGGATAATAATTGGTAGCATACCACAAATTTCTTAAAAGGGCATAATGCTAAATGAGATAATTGCATGTTGTGACTTCCAATACCATTAAATGGGGTTGATGATGCCTCTTGAAAGTTTATTTAATCTATTTAGGTCATAGCAATTTGAAGTTTCTACTCTATTATGCATATGGTAATTTTATTTTATTTTTTTTGTTTTTAGTGATGATTGCATAGCCTCCGAGTTCTGCTTTCTATGATTCTCCAAATATTGGTTTATGCTTCCAAATAAAGGGTTTTCTTTGATGCGCTTAGTTGGGATTCTAATGGGTCCCACTTAAATACTACTACATATTAGGAAAGGGCATGAACATGGACGCGGATACGCAGGACGAACTTATTACTAAAAGAGGGGGGAAATTGCGCCCCCCTGAAATTTTAATTTTTTACTAATATAGTTTTTTTTTTTTCTTTTTTTTTTTTTTAAGTAAATATTTATAAAATATTACTATAAAATTATTATAAAATTTCAGTCTTGCACCCCTTATTAAAAGTTTTAGGTCCGTCCATGCGGATATGACACAGATACGTTGACACGCCAAATTTTTAAAAAGTAAGACACGAGTACATCTTTGATATGGTTATATATAAATATAAATATTTATTTATATACATGTATTGAGTAATAGTATTACAAAAACTTTATTTAATTTTCAATTTTTATATTAAGAGTAGTAATGACTTTTATATCATATATATAATTATTCCCCTATTTTGTCAAAATAGTGTTTTTATTTTAAATGAACAAATGTCATTTAATGTTTTGTTTGTGATCATATGTATATAATGTCAAATTTTCTTAAAGGAAAAGTTGAACATTTTAGAATGTGTTCATATTATTTTCAAGATTACTGAGTAGGTTTGTGTTAGAAATGTTTAAAAGTGTCGGGCTAAGTGTCCAAGAAGTGTAGGTCAAGTGTTGTCCAAAGTAATTATTATTTTTTTATATTTACAGACATGTATATGAAGTGTCAAATATGTGTTCAAAAATTGTTCAACGAGTGTTCGGTATCACATAGACACGACACATGTACGATTCCTTCACAGAAGTACTGTCTGTACTTCATAACTTAAAAACAATTTTCTTAAATGACTACTGGATCATACAAGAATTGTACCGTTAAACACTTGTAAGTCATTGTTATGAAATAGTATGTGATTTATTTCATATTATCTTTCTCCTACGAAAAGCGCGCTAAAGATAATTATTCTTATCCAACTGTGGACAGGCCAAATCACGTGGGCTATTACTGCCCAAAGCAGTCCACATTTCTTCTTATGTAGACTGTCAATATTTTGTATGGTAAGTAATTTTGGGAAAATTTTGAACCACATCTTTCAACAAGAGTGACTTTTAGTTCATGATATATTCATGCAACAAAACCCAAAATTATATAAAGAGATTCTATACAGATACGGGCAGAAAAATCATTGTTATGAAATAGTATGTAATTCAATTTTTTTTATCTTTCTCATACGAAAAGCGCGTTAAGGACAGTTGTGCTTGTCCAACTGTGGATAGGCCAATCACGTGGGCTACTATTGCCAAAGCAGTCCACATTTCTTCTTATGTAGAATGTCAATATTTTGTATGGTAAGTGATTTTGGGAAAACTTTGAACCACATCTTCCAACAAGAGTGACTTTTAGTTCCTGATATATTCATGCAACAAAACCCAACATTATATAATGAGATTCTATATAGATACAGGCAGAAAAATCATTGTTATGAAATAGTATGTGATTCATTTCTTATTATCATTCTTATACGAAAAATGCGCTAAGGACATTTGTTCTCGTCTAACTGTGGACATGCCGAATCACATGGGCCACTATTGCCCAAAACAATCCACATTTCTTCTTATGTAGACTGTCAATATTTTGTAGGGTAAGTGATTTTGGGAAAACTTTGAACCACATTCTCCAATAAGAGTGACTTTTAGTTCATGATATATTCATGCAACAAAACCCAAAATTATATAAAGAGATTCTATACAGATTCGGGCAGAAAAATCATTGTTATGAAATAGTATGTGATTCATTTGTTATTATCTTTCTAATACGAAAAGCGCGCTAAGGATAATTGTTCTTGTCCAACATTGGACAGGCCCAATCACGTGGGCTACTACTGCTCAAAGTAGTCCATATTCTTCTTATGTAGATTGTCAATATTTTGTTTGATAAGTGATTTTGAAAAACTTTGAACGATATCTTTCAACAAGAGTGAGTTTTAGTTCCTGATATATTCATCATGCAACAAAACTCAAAATTATATAAAGAGATTCTATACAGATATGGGCAGAAAAATCATTGTTATGAAATAGTATGTGATTAATTTCTTATTATCTTTCTTATACGAAAAGTGCGTTAAGGACAGTTGTTCTTGTCCAACTATGGACGGGCCAATCACGTGGGCTACTACTGCCCAATGCAGTCCACATTTCTTTTTATGTTGACTGTCAATATTTTGTACGGTAAGTGATTTTGGGAAAACTTTGAACCACACCTTCCAAGAAGAGTGACTTTTAGTTCCTGATATATTCATGCAACAAAACTCAAAATTATATAAAGAGATTCTATATCAATACGGGCAGAAAAATCATTATTATGAAATAGTGCGTGATTCATTTTTTATTATCTTTCTCATACGAAAAGCAAGCTAAGGACAGTCGTTCTTGTCCAACTGTAGATATGCCAAATCACATGGGCTA